GAGCAGGACCGGCGGCACCGCTGCTGCCCGGGGGCGGCCACCCCTCCTCGCGTTTACAGTGCTCGTGTTTTTACCGACGACGAGAAACCGAAGCAAAAAACAACAAAAAAAGAAAAATACACACACACACAAACGAGAAAACAAATCTGTTTTAGCTTATTAAAATTCTTTAAAAAACACCTGGGGCTGCTGTGCCGCTCTCTGCCAGCCTCGCTGGCGCCCTGCAGCCACCTCCCACAGCGCCCAGGCCGGGCACAGGTGGCTCCGAGCACCTTGGCCACCAGCCCCAGCTCTCCCTTCCTGTGGGGAAGGGGCTATGGAGCAGGGATTGTGTCACGGGGAAAGGATCCGGTAAGGAGAAGGGGTCGCCTCATAGAGCAGGGGTTGCGCCATGGGAAAGGGCGAAGCCGTCGGGACAAGGACCGCACTGTGAAGAAGGGAGGGAGTCATGGAGAAGGGCTGGAGTTAAGGGAAGGGATCATCCCCATGGGTGAGGGTTTGCCCCAAGGGGAAAGGACTATGCCCTGGAGAAGGAGCCATAGCACGGAGACGGGATGGGGTCACGGAGAAAGGACCACGTTATGGAGCAGGGATCACGTTGTGGGGAAGGGACGGTGCCCTGGGGAAGGGACGGTGCCCTGGGGAAGGGATCGCCCCCACGGAGACGGGAGCAGCCCCCAAGGAAGGGATCGCAGCAGGGGAAGGGACCCTGCTACAGAGAAGGGATCACAACAAGGAGCAGGGATGGTGCCCTGGGCAGGGGCCGGCACCACGGACATGGGCCAGGCAGCCACCACACACGGGGACAATGCGGGGACCAAGGAAGAGACTCATGGGCGAAACGAGAAGGAAAATTCCCACTGGACTGTGCTTTATTTCAGTCGAAGCAGATACCGGTCACTACAAAGGTACAGAGCCAACGCCGGGGCCTCCGGCCTTCCGCCACCAGGAAACCCAAAAGGAGGAGCAGCCCAAAAGCGCCGGAGGGCCGGCGGGAAGGGCCCCGCGGGGCCGGGGCGGCGGAGCGGGGAGTAGCAGCCGTTTGGGCAGAGGTAGCTTTACACGGAGCCCTCGCCGGGGGGATCCTGGTGGGTCCTTCAAGGTAGCAAGAGACTATGGCAGCGAAAGAGTAGCCCTTAGAGACGGCAGTTCCTGCTGGCTTTGTTCTGGGGACGCGGCGCGGGGCGGCAGAGCGGCGGCCTCCGGGGCCCCGGCCCGGCCGCGCTCCCGCCGGAGCGATTCAAGTGCACGAGGAAAGAAATTATCAAAAAAAACAGCCCCGAGCTCTGCGGCAGAGCAACATTCCCTCCCCGGCTGGGAACCGACAGGCTCG